AGCAAATGAACAATCAGAATAGTCCTGAGCAAGGAAGCACATCAGGGTTTTTACTCCCGGTACTTTCTCATCCTGAAGAAAGGAGGCTCATCCCCCTGCCTCATTTTAGACATGGGTGTACCCAACAAATCAAATCAAATTTTATTTGTATAGCGCCAAATCACAACAAAAGTCATCTCAGGACACTTTACAAAGTCAGTACTAGACATTACCATTATCACTATTATTACAGAGGAAAACCCAGCAAATCCCCCTTGAGCAAGCACTTGGCGACAGTGGGGAGGAAAAACTCCCTTTAACAGAAGAAACCTCCGACAGACCCCGGCTCTTGGTGGGCAGCCTTCTGCCTCGACCGGTTGGGGTGAGTGAATAGAAGAGAAAGAAAAGAAAAGTAACAAGACACAATAAAAAACAACAAACAATCAAACGCTGGGCAGGGTGATGTGGCTGGTGACTGCTCATCAAAAACGTAGAGCTCCAGAGCCAGGGCAACCTGCAGAAAGGTACAGGGAGAGAGAGGGGACACAATACGGGAGAAAGGAGACACAAAGTTAGTGATGTGTAATGGTGGCATATAGAAGCATAGAGAGAGAGGGGAGGAGAGGGGAGGGGAGGAGAGAAACTCAGAGCATCATGGGGCCCCCCAGCAGCCTAGGCCTATAGCAGCATAACTAAGGGAAGGCTCAGGGTCACCTGATCCAGCCCTAACTATAAGCTTTATCAAAAAGGAACGTCTTAAGTCTAATCTTAAAGGTAGAGAGGGTGTCCGCCTCCCGAACTGAGACTGGGAGTTGGTTCCATAGGAGAGAAGCTTGATAGCTAAAGGCTCTGCCTCCCATTCTACTTCTGTGGACTCTAGGAACCACAAGTAAACCTGAGAGCAAAGTGCTTTGTTGTGATGAAGCTCTATGAGGTCTTTAAGATACGATGGAGCCTTGTAATTAAGGGCTTTGTATGTTAGGAAAAGGATTTTAAATTCTATTCTGAATTTCACAGGGAGCCAGTGGAGAGAAGCTATCAAAACAAATACAGTATTAGCCTTTAAATAGCTGTGTATCTAACAGCAGTAACTGTGCAGACAACAGAGAGGAGCAGCAGAGAGGGTCCAAGACCACAGCTCCCAGTGGGTCCAGTATAATCACTAGTCCAACAGCGTAGGCAGTCAGAAGGAAGCTAGTCTGACCTTATTTAACAGGGCAATGTTATAAATCTTAGGCTACTTTGGTTTCTTTTGAACATACAAGACTAAGTAGCTTACATATGGCAGTTCCCTTTAGTTTTACCAAGGGTATCTTTTCAACAAGGCTTTTAGGAATCATTAGCTAACGTTAGATAGAAACACTCAACAGAATTTAAATGAGCACTGCACAGGCTCTCAGTCACTGAGGCCAGACAGACCCCAGTCTCTTGTCATTACTGAAGCCACAATTTCCTCATTCTCTCTTGGAAGGAATGTTTTCCCTTTGGGATGCTGACATTTTCCAAGTGTTCTTCAAGCAATTAGAGCAGTTCACTGCCCAACAAGTCCTTGTCATATTGCTTTCCACATCTCAATCATTTTGCTTTGTTTTCTACTCCTGTAAAGTGCACGCATCTCGATGATGTTGCTCAGAAACCCATGTTTACAAAAAACTTTGGCATGTCACAATTTTACAGCCATCATGGTGACACTACATTTTATTTTTTGGTGAGTTATACAAAACAAGCAGGTCTTCTGTTCACCCAGAAGGGGAACTTGTTGCAAACTTTGTTTGCAGTGAAATATATTTAGTCAAAATAAAACAAATTGTATAAATGGTAAATGGACTGTATTTATATAGTGCATTTTTCCACAGTGTGTTGCACTGGCCAAAGTGCTTTACAGGAGATGATACACCATTCACCCATTCACACACAACATTCACATACCGATGACGACAGATGACAATCAGATATAATTCTTGCAGCTTCTTCCAAAGCCTTTGCACACGTGCAAATTTCATACATATTTACTACAACTCATATAATCTTTAAATTACTTTTAAGAACTGACAACTAACATTGTCCATCTATGCTGTTATGTTTTTATGTATTTAGCTCTGGGCTGTAACGACTCAGTCGTTAATGGACAGTGTTGGCCTTCTAAGGACTGAAACCACACCGAGGGGGAAAGGAAGAGTAAACATATGTTAAAAGGACATGTGACACAAGAATATTTGAGGTGCAGATAAAAAAAAAAAACTATACATTTAGTAATGCCAAACAACATGAGAGAAAAATGTTTATTGAACACTCCTACATGGTTTGGTAAGATTGCAGCCCCTTTCTCACTGAAGTATGATATGAGCTTGCCATTGAGTACAGCAGTTTTATAACCATGTGTGAAGATGTTATATACCTCTTCAAAGTCTTTAACTGTAGGTGGAGGGTTTGAGTCCCCAGACACTTTCTGTGGCATTTCCTCATCCACACTCTGCAGAATAAAAGAAAAGAATATTCTCATTAGGTGAAACTGACTGAAGAATGTCCCTGTATTACATGCTGCCAAAAGGAACTATGGCTGTCCTTCTTTGTCAGGTTTGCTGTACAATGTCTGCTATATAGTCAGCTGGCCTGCCATGTTACTGAAATCTATTTTCAGCTCATACACCAAGGTAAATATTGTGCTCATGGTGAATGCTGACTGATAAATTCAGCAACTTCATTTTTATATACTGCAACCCACTTAAGGTGGCTGTTGGCTTTTTTTGCTGTGTGATTGTGAAATTTTATAGATATAAAATTTGCTTTGATCCATATGTACTGTATGTCAAAATACCTGTTTTGTGTTCCATTCACTTTAAGTGACTGATTCTCACCAATCAAATGCAACTAACAACCTGCCCCACACCTTGAACTTGTACACAAATCAAAACAGCGCTTGTATGAGCATTCTTAAAAACCATAGTGAGGCTACAGTTAATCACCCACCGGAGGGCGGACCTAATATACACCATGGACCTTACAAACCATATTTAAAGTTTTCACACACACACACACACACACACAAAACCCTCCTGGAGGAATGGCCCTAAATACACTATATGGTTTGTAAGGCCCATGATGTATATAGAGACATTCCTCCAGGAATGTACCGAGGCCACAGTCAATCCTCCCCGGAGGGCGGACCTAATATACACCATGGACCTTACAAACCATATTTAAAATTTTTTCCACACACACACACGAAGATGTTTTCTGACTGTCCTCATACATGGTTGTCCTAACAAACCATATTACACTCAGCTGCTTCCACTAAGGAGACCAGAATGAACAGGTACACACACAAACTAACGGTAGGAAACAGGAGTAGAGGACCAGGGAAGACAGGTGAACAAAAACAGAGAGCCCTGAGAGCGTAGACGCCGGTCAGGAGGGCGACCTCGGCGCATGGCTTGAGAGCGTATTCGCCGGTCAGGAGGGCGACCTCGGTGCAGAGTTTGAGAGCGTAGACGCCGGGCAGGAGGCGTTAGTGGAAAGGCGGCGCCGTCGGCGAACCCCTCTGGTGCAGGAAGCAGGGCGGCTTCATCGGTGAACCCCTCTGGCACAGGAAGCAGGGCGGCCTTGTCGGCGACCCACTCGGGAACTGGAGGCAGGAGAGCGGCGTCGTCACCGACCCCCTCGAAGACTAGAACAGGAACTGAAGAAGATGGGGCGGCGTCGGCGCGCCGGCCGACCTGCACAGCCGGCC